ATGTCTTCAGTTCTGCTTCTCTTCATAATACTCAAAACATTCTGCTCTTCCCCCCACCACCCCATGCACTGTGTGTGTAGCAGGTGGGCCTTTGGGGTCTTATGCCTGCCTCCACTGTGTGGCATGAAGCAGGGTTTTAAATACTACCCATTCTCTAACACTCTGGATCCCCAGTTACATGTCCTACAATGTAACTATGACTCTACCTCAGCAGCTCTCCACCTCAGTGGTCACATATTAGATATCCTGCATATCAGATATTCACATAACAGTTCATGACAGTAACAACATTACAGTTATGGAAGTAGCAAAATGAAATAATTTTATGGTTGGGGGTCACCACAACATGAGGTACTGTGCTGAAGGGTCACAGCATTAGGAAGGTTGAGAACCACTGTGCTACCTAGAGTTGGTGTAGAGTCAATACAGGTTAAGGTCTCGTTTACACAAGACTGACCCTACTTCAAGCACTAATCACAAATATTGGGTGCCTGGGTTACTCATACATCTACCAACATGGCTACAAACTGGGCTTCCTATATTGCACTGCTCAGGTTCAGTCATTTTCTGATGACTGAAAAAATTTAGGGAAATTTACTTGTATTTGCTCATTTGTTATAAAGTAAATACTAAAGAATAGTAATGATCAGGCAAGCCAGGCATAGTGGCACATGCCTTTAATTCCAGCACTCAGGAGGCAGAGGCAAGTAGATCTCTGTGAATTTGAGGCCAGCCTGGTGTACATAGTTACTTCCAGGACAGCCAGGGCTATGTACAGAGACCCTGTCTCAAATTTTAAAAAAATAAAAATAAATTAAAAAACAAAACAAAGCCACACAAGGGAGTATGCTGTGCAAGGGCTTGTCTATTCTGACATTTATCTACGGGACTGAAAAGAAATCCTGCCACCAAGTCTTCAGGTTCCTTTCTGGCTTGGTATCACATGCAAACAAGCAAACAGTTGTGTGTGTGGTTGGGGAAGGTGTTAACTAACCAATGAGTGAAGAAGGGGAGTTCATGCCCTAGATACATCGTCCTTTCTGAGCACATGTTGGTAGGCTTTTCCTCGGGCTGGGGTGAGGTGTGAGGTAGTGCATCCTGTCATTATAGTTTTTCACAGAGAAGGGAGATCCTCAGGAACCAGGATGCCGCTGCTTCTCTTTCATGGACATGATCAGATCTGCCATGGCACTTATGGGTGCATGTTTTTATCAGAAGATTATGATGATGCCAAGGTCACCTGGAGTGTCAACATGGTGTCGAGCTAGTCTTGATGTGGTGACACACGTGATAACAGCTGGGAGCGTGTTATCGGCATCCAGACTTTTAACTTTTGCATAGCTGATGGGACAACAGGCCACTAGTAACTTGAGGGCTCACACTGGTTACTCCTGTTCTCACCACACAGCATCCCATGTGCCTGCCAGAGCAGCCAGTAAAATTCTGATAGAGAACAGACTGCTGGTGTGTCTGCTAAAAGTGTTTCTGTCTTTTGTTTTGTTTTGTTTTGTTTTGTTTTGTTTTGTTTTGTTTTAGTGTTTTTCTCCGTATTATGAAGTTTCATAACTTACTTATATATTCTAGGCAGGAATATTTTATTACATACATTAATTTTTATGTAAATTTTGTATGTAATTTTGTAGGTATTTTCTCCCAATTGGGCCAAAAAAATGTTTTAACCACAATACCTTTCGAATATTTCGAATATTAAGGACTTACATCAGCTATTATGTGTTGGGATCTATTTACCCTTGCTTTCCTGTTTGTTCTTTCTTCCTTCTTCTAAGTTACCTGAACATTGATTTTGGAAATGTGTTTTGTTTTATCAATAGTATTGAGTGTACATCTTTGTGTAGAATTTTAGGAGTTTGCTCTAGAGATTGTTTTATGTATGTAACAAACCACTATCTGATGATAAGGCATTTTGACAATGGAGGCAGAATGTGGAGCCCTTCCCTCTCTGTGATTAGCTGGTGGTGAGTTACGCCTTACAGTTATTTCCAATTTCTTCTCTATACACTTGGAACAATTTCAGGATCTTGTCATTTTTGCAACAAGCAACAAACTAAGAAACCGAAGAGGATATGGCAAGCTGCTGCATTTTTCCATATTTTCTCTTTGCAGCTGGTTCTTCCATCTTGGTTTTGCAGGATTCCTCTCTTCTGTTGTTGCCTCTGCTTCAAGGCCTGTTTTAGACTGGTTAGGTCTACTGGGTTGGGCCCTCGGAAACAGGTTCTGTTTTCCTACATCTATATTATAGACTCAATGTGTGTATTCATGTTTGTGCCCCTACAAAATTCTAATGTTGAACGCAGGATTCCCCCACTGTGCCAGTCTCTGGAGATAGGGCCACTAAGGAAATTGTTCGAATTAAGTAAGGGCGTGGGACAGAGTTCTGATCAGGGTTAGCATTCTTACAAAAAGAACCAGGAGGACTAGTAGTTAAGAGCACTGAGGCTCTGCCGGAGGACATGGGTTTGATTCTCAGCACCACAGGGCAGCTCACAACTGTCTGTTGTCTGTCTCCAGTTGCAGGAGGTCTGACACCTTCTTCTGGCCTCCAAGGGCACCAGGCACACCCTTGGTGCACAGACATATATGCACACAAAACACCCACATACATTAAATAAGTAAATTTTTTTAAAAAGTTGGATATGGCACCTCAGGTAAAGTGCCCAATCGTAAGAACCTAAATTGGGATTCCCCAGAACCCACACAAATCCGAAATAGACCACTCTAAGTCAGTAATTCCAGCACTCCTATAACAGGATAGGCAGTGGAGACAGGCGAATCAGCAGATGCTCAAACAACCTGGTGTGCACAGTGGGGAACACCAAACCATGTCTAAAACAAGATGAAATGTGAGAACCGACAAGCAAGGTGGTCCCCTGGCCTCCACAGCTGTCCCATGTTACATTTTGCCATTAGTCATAAGAACATACACAAAGATCTTCATTAATTGACTAGAGTTTACCTTCTCCCTGTGGCACAAGGAGAAACCATTGGAATACATAGAGGGATGGTGATTACCCACCCCATATGGTGATTGCCAACCTCAGAAAAAGGTCAACCTTTGAGGCACTTTGACCTTGAGCTTCCCAGTCTGCAGATTGAAAATAACTCTGTTATGTGAGCAACCCAGTCTGGGGTATCTTGTTATAGCAGCCCAAAGAGACTAGTTCAGTCTAGACTTCATAAGCACATATGAAGGGTATTATTTTGTTAGACACAGAATTCTGATTTGGTAGTTCTTTTCTTTCAGCCCTTGGAAAATGCTGTACCTCTTTCTGGCCTCCATGGTTTCTGCTGAGAAATCCTTTGTCATTATAATTGGTTTTCCCCTATAGGTAAGGTGCCATTTCTTTCTTGCTACTTTCAAGACTGTTTTTCTAGTGCTTGGGATTTGAACCCTCACAAAGCGCTCTATCATCCCTGGCCCCTCTATAGCATTTCTATATTGATTATGATATCTTACTATGAATTGCTTTGTATCTTATAGTATTGGGACTTTGCTCGGCTTCTTGAATTTGTAGATTTAGACCATTTGTTAAATGTGGAATATTTTCAGTCATTTCCTTGAATGATTTTTAGCTCTAATCTCTCCCTCCCTCATTTTGGGACTCCAGTAAATTAGGTGTTGGATCTTTCGTTAGTCGCTACTGAGTCCTTAGGCCCTCCTCACCCAGCTTACCCCTGTCTGCTTTGTACCACTTGTTCAGTTTAGACACTATCTTTATTCTTTCTCTTAACTATTCTTTTTATTAATTCATACCAATTTTACAAACTAGTGAAGTTTTTCTGTGTCATTTGCTTATGAAACAATACTACCGGTTTTGTATATTGACTTTATCTCTTTGGTTGCTATGAAAAGAAGCAAAAAGTAGTTTACTTTTATGACAAACTTTTATTATATTATTATTGTGTGTACAGTATGAGAGTATTGTCTGAATGTATGTGTGAGTGTGTGTGTGTGCGTGTGTGTGTGTGTGTGTGTGTGTGTAAGAGAGAGAAAGGAGAGAGAGAAAATGGGTGCACATGTACCATGGCACGTGAGTAGAGGTCAGTTCTGCTTCCACTGTGGGTTCTAGAAACAGAAATAGAACTTGTTCCCTCTGATTTCCGTAGAAAATGCTTACACCTGATGAATCATCCTTCCTGCCCCTGGATTGCTTTTAAACTAAAATTTTGAGTTGTTTGTTTTTAAGTTTTTATTAGCATGTGGTAATTAAGCATAATAATATGCTCCATTTTGACATTTTCAAGCTTGTTTTTATTTTAATCATTTACTCCCCCATTATCCTCTCTCTTTCCCCTCCAAATTCCCCTAATCCTCTTCCTTACTCCACCTAGTCTCCTACCCTCTATTTTTATATCCTTTCGTCTTCATATTTTGTTTTCTCTGAGGAGACAAGCTCTCACTGTGCAGTTGAAGCTGGCCTGGAACTCATTGTATAACCCAGGTTGGCTTCTAGCATGTAGTCATTCTGTGTTAGCCTCCTGCGTGCCAAGATTACATGAGGTTACATGAATATGCTACCACACCAGCTCATATAATGTGTTGGCTAGGCCATTCAAATGGTATGATTTCACTAGGAGTAATGAGAGCAAACATCCTTGTTGGTCACTAGCTACAGAGAGAAGCATCAGGCTCTCACCATAATGTATGATATTGGCTGTAAGAGTTTATAGATGACCTTTATTGAATTGAGAAAACCCATTCAGATAAGACCACCATTCATCTATGCGTGAGGATGGAATATCATGACCTAATTATCTTCTATTAGGCCCAACCTCTTAAAGGTTCCACTACCTCAATACTACTGTCCTGGAGGCCTATGGTAGACAAACCATATCCAAACCAGTAGGTACCAAGTCAAATGTGTTTTTATAATGTTTGTCTACAGCAGAACACAGGGTGGTTTGAAAGAGTAAGTTGGAAGAAAAATCTGGAGTCTTTTATAAATTTTTCACTCTTACTTTTCAACTTCTTCTTGGTTTAGGTTGTGGGTCTGTCCTGAATGTAAATGGTGATGTTGAGATGGATGCTAGTATCATGAATGGGAAGGACCTGTCTGCGGGAGCAGTGTCTGCCGTGCGCTGTGTCGCCAATCCCATTAAACTTGCACGGCTTGTTATGGAAAAGGTACGTGTGGTGGAAACAGCGTTTCCAGAGAAGCCTTCACTGCTGGCATATGGGCCAGATTGTGAGCAGTGCTGAATATCGATGTTCCAAGCACATACAGGGACACGCATAGCACCATTGGATTCTCATGGATCAGCCATGGCTTAGACCCTGACTGCTATGTGACACATGCTGACCCCGTCATCTCCCGACCTTCCTTAAACTGGCTGGGGACACAGCTCAGTGAACGATCACCTACCTAGGGCTCACCAAGGCTCTGGGGTTGACTGCCAACCCAGAGAAGAAAAATGGAGGGAGGGGACCCAGTTCAATTTTCACTTTGGGGCCTTTTAACACTAAAAATGTAGTCATTATTTTCACATCGTAGAACAGATAAATGTACATTCATTCATTCATTCATTCATTCATTCATTTAAACTTCTCTGTCCCTCCCATCTTGGCTTAGACACCTCATTGCTTTCTGACTGGCCATGGTGCAGAGAAATTTGCATCAGATGTGGGGATACCAGGGGTTCCTGCAGAAAAGCTGATAACGGAGAGAAGCAAGAAGCACCTGGAGAAAGAGAAGTTTGGGAAGGGGATGCAGAAAACTGACTGCTTTAAGTAAGTGCCAGGTGCCACCCAAACTTCCCTAGTCATACAGTGGAAGAGCTTGGCAGTGTTCCCGCAGCTGCATTCCCTAAGGAGCTGAAACTCTTCTTAGCCCTAACTCTACCCTTATTTACTCCTCCTGTATGGATAAGAGTTCTTCTCTGGCACAGCTAAGCAGAGGATTCCTAGCCAGCCTGGGAGGCATATACTCATAATCCCAGCCACTAGAGACAACAGGACAGGTTTCAAGACAGCCTGAGCTGTAGCGTAAAACCCTAGCTCAAACACCTAATAATAATTCACTAGGACCCAGGAGCCCATAATAGAAGAGAATTCAGTCTTGTAACACTACGAAGTCCCTAGCATTTACCAGACATCAGCCTTAAAACCTAGGCAGAATATATATATTCAGACTAAATACACACACACACACACACACACACACACACACACACACACACACACAGGTCCCCTTTTCTAAAGAATGGGTTTTGATAGGTCTGAGGCAAAGAGGCCAGGCAAGTGTAATATGCAAGTCTCTGTGGTCATTCTGATGCCTTTCCAGAATGAGATCAGAGATGTTAACATACTATTATTCTTCCATTTGCTCTGAGATAGGATCCTGCTATGTAGCCTAGTCTAAGTGCGGAATTTGCAGTCCTCCTTTCTCAGCTTCCCAGGTACTAGGATTTCAAGCTCTTATATCTGTGGACTACAGTCAGAGGACTGTGGCTACTGGATCCGTGCTGTGTGTTTATTTTCAAAGCTGCCTTCCCATTGCTTTCTGGAAGCTGTGTATGAGCTGAGGAAGTGGTTCAGTGGTAGAGTACATGTGTATTGTGCATAAGGCCCTGGGTTCAATGCCCAGCAGTAAACACAAAAGACATCTCTTAACTGTGCACCTTCATGAGCCAGTGCCACTCTTAGAGGTTAACAAGTGGCCTCTTGCTTTGGACCCTGCAACTTAGTGTCGCATGGGGGCACCTTTGACACTCAGCGTTGGCTCAGCATGACAGATGGCCTGCCTCCGTCCCTGTCACTGACACTGGGCAGCCTCGAGGCAGGAAAGGCGTTTTTGCCTGTCTGAACCCAAAGTCTGGGCTCTGCCGCTGTCAGCATCAGAAATGAACACTTCTGGGGAGCCTGGGAAGATAACAAACAACAGGACTTAGGGAAGAGGGGAACTATCTAAAGAGGAACTTCTAGTGCACTTACAGCATGCAGCACGCCCACTTCCTTGCCGCCACATATTTCAGTTTAAGCTCCTGAAGGCATTCCTGAATCAGTGTCATCTCAAAAAGGGTTACATTTGTGCATGTGTCCATCTCAATAAGAAGTAAATGAAGGAAACATATAAAATGAATAAAATTTTTTGGGACAGGGTCCCACTATGTAGCCTTAGCTGGCATGGAATACACTGTGTACACCAAGCTGACCTCAGACTCAGAGACCCACCTGCCTCTGTCTCCTGAGTGCTGGGATGGGTGTACTCTTTAAAGTAGAAATGTAAAGGACTGTGTGGAAATCTGCCTGCCAGTGACATGTAGAATCAGAAACAAATGTTTTCTTGAGCCCAGAATGCTAACATCTAATGTAGGAATTGAAGTGATTTTAAGGTAAGTGTTACCTGGGGGACTGTTTCACTCTTCCTTCTCTTCCTTTTACTGTTCACTTTTGGCAGAAACTCAGGAACAGTAGGTGCTGTTGCCTTGGACGCCAAAGGAAACGTGGCTTATGCAACCTCTACAGGGGGGATTGTCAATAAAATGGTTGGCCGAGTTGGAGACTCACCTTGCATAGGTAAGACTGAGAGATAGCTCATGCCCTTCCCTTGCCCCTGTGTCATCAGATTCTCACCTTTCCTCTTGGTGGCAGCTTCTAGGAGTGGCAGTTGGGTTGGAAGAGGTTGTTGGATGCCACTGCTCTGAGGTGTTCTCATCTAATAGGCACATTGGTTTCCCCTTGCTTATGTTTTGGGGACATCTTGAGAGATGAGGTCTTGATAGGTGAGGATGCTGACATTGTCCTGGACTGCTGCAGCCATGCCTGTCTTCTACGTACCCCAATTTCAGGGTCCTCAGGCTCACTTGCAAGGGCTAAATACACAGTGCCTCTTCCAGGCATGGCTCACGTTAACAGTGTAAAAATAAGCAGCTGAAAAACTGAGCTGGAGAGATGGCTCATGGGAAAAATACTTGCTGGGCACATACATGGACCTGCATTCAGATCCTCAGCACCATGGAAAAGCCATCTGCAGCTGTGTGCATCTGTAACCCAGCCCTGGCAGAGGCAGAAATTAGTGGATCACCAGAGCTTGTTAGCCAGCTGGTGTAGCTAAATGAGCTACACACACACATAGTGGTGGCTGAGAACGTTTACAGGTACTGTGTGGCGGTAGCACACTCGGGCAGACGGAAATGTCCGAGTGCAAAGCAAGAAGCAGCATGCTGTAGGAATGCATCTTTTGCTCTGTACGGATTTGTAATTTCTTGTGGGAATTCTCACAAACCGCTGCAGCTGAATGACATTTCAAGACAGTTAAATTGTTCATCTGCCCAAAAGAGTAGCTTATACGTTAGCAGAAAACTTGACCTTATGTATATGGTGTGCTACTCTTAGTGATAATTCACACTCTTGACAGTTCTTTGTACCCTATACAACGATAGCCTTGGAGGGAATGCTTGAAGCCTCATTAAAGGTCAGAGGCCTGTCTGCTGAGATGCTGTGGCACTCCACTCAGAAGCAGAGGCCTAACACCTTTGTTTACTCCAGAAACATGAAACACTCACTTTTTTGCTCCTTAGCAAAAACGCTGCCAAAATATGGCTGCTCAGTAATACAACCTGAATCCAACTGGGATCCAACAAGGCCCCAGAGTCAGATCAGAGCCTAAGAATTAACTTCAGGCTTTGTGAGTCCTCGTGGCAAAGTACTGAGAGGAAAAATCTGTGACCTGAATTCTCAGACACCCCTGACTTGGTTGTCGGTACCAAATGTGCTCTTCTTGACCTTTCTGATAAGCATTTCCCAGGAGGGTCCAGCTGTCCCTTGAGGATGTTCTGTAGGTGACAGTAGGCACACAGTAACATTTCCTTAGCAGTGCAGTTATCACCCTGAAAAAAAGGGGGGTGCCCATGCCAGGACCCACAGAGTCACCCTGGCCTTGTGTGACTCTAAAGAAACTGAAAGGAAAATGAAGACTTGGCTGCTTCCAATAGTAGGGCCTTATTTACGCCACGGAGTCAGTCTAGTTCACCCTGCAGCAACAGCTTGAAGGAAAAGCCACCTTCTCTTCCGTAAGACTTCATATTCCTTACCCAATCTCAACTCCTCCAGAACAGAAACAGTGAAGTTAGCTCCTTTCAACACTCAGCAGAGATCTGTCCTCCTGAGCCCTTCCCCCATACCCAGCTTCAGTAAGTAAGGCAAACAGCAATATAATGCTTCAGTGCCAACCAGAACAAAGTAAAGGTGAAACCTGCCAGGCTCAGGGCTCTCAGACTGGTGGCTCTGTGTGAACAGTAAGGAATGACAGAGAGATGACTATAGAGTTGCTCAGTCTAAGACTAGGGGAGAAATTTTATCAAGTTTACTTTGGCTCCAGAACCCATTATACAGATAATCCAGAAGAGTTCTCTCAGGTCTAAGCTACTTTTGACAGGTAGAAATACTTTCTAAATCAACATAGAGGTTGGCCTTGGGAGGGTTCAGTTTTCCCCAAATTATTTTAATCTCTAATGGCTGTCCAGGTCATTAAGGTGACATCCCCAAGGTGTTCTTCATCCTTAAGGAGTGGGATATGCAAGAGGAATGGCATCACTGAGAGAGATGAGGTGGATGTCCTGGTGTCATCCAGGAGGTGTGTGGTCCTGGTGTCACAGCTCTGTGAAAGGCCACGCCCGACTCTTGAGGGTTCTGTCATCCTGGGCCCTGCGTGTTTACAGGTGACCCCTTATACACTTTGACATCACCAGGTCATGAATATGGCTTTGACCTACATCTCTAGGATATAACATTATATGGCATGAGCCTTGTGTTTGAACGTTTTGACTGTTGTTGCTCAGCTAGAACCAGTCACCTTTTTTGAGCAGGAGCTGGAGGTTACGCAGATAATAACATCGGAGCCGTTTCAACCACTGGACATGGGGAAAGTATCCTGAAGGTGAATCTGGCCAGACTCGCCCTCTTCCATGTTGAACAAGGTATGTAAGCTGTGGAACAAGTGCACACAGGTGAAGACAAATACATAGATGCTCTTGGCCACTGGCAGGCTAGGGTATGGAGCCTTCCTTGCAACAGACCCTGCCCCAAGGTTGTTCACACTTCTCTAACACCTGCCTGCATTCTGGTAGGGTATGGACTAGAAGAGCCTTTAGATGACTGTTCTGAGACACTGTTCTCTAGGCTGGGGAAAGGTCTCTGTGTTTGAGAGTGCTTGCTGCACACTCATGAAGACCTGAGTTCAAGTCCTAAGGACATGAAGAAAGTCATGTATGACTGTGCAGGTGCCTGTAGGTACCTCAGCACTATGGAGGTGGAGACCAGAGGATCACTAGTAGTTGCTGGATGACAGTGTAGGAAGGAAAAAGAAGAAGAAAAAGAAACCCTGTCTCAAGGCACTAAGGTGGAACATGATAGAGAAGGACACCTGGTATCCTGGCCTCCATGCATGTGTGGGCACACACAGGAGCACATACGCAATGTGTGTCTGCTTTTCTCTTTCACATCTCAAAAGACAAGGCAAGCCAGGTGTGGTGGGACATGGCTGAATCCCAGCACTCTGGGAGGCAGAGGCAGGCAAATCTCTGTGAGTTCCAGGCCAGCCTGGTCTACAAAGTGAGTCTAGGCTACACAGAGAAACCCTATCTCGAAAAACTAGAAAAAAAAAACAAAGGCAAGGCAATAGAAAGGGGTTAACCTTGACCAGGGGCATAAGAGAGAAGATGTCTATGTCCCAGAAAGGAGCTGAAGTGTGCACGTTGTATTGCTTTGCTGGTCGGGGTGACCAGACATCTGACAAGAAGCCCTTTAAGGAGATTTGCTTGGGCTCACAGTTTGAAGGGAGTACAGTCCACTGTGAGGGGGAAGGCACGGTGGTGGGCAGCTCTGTGACAGTGGGAGTGTGCAGCAGTTACTTGCTCAATTCTCAGTGGACCAGGAAACAGATAGGACAGAAGGCAGGACTGGTTCTCGCCTGCTCCCCCCAGCCACCCTCTTTCTCCAGTGAAGCCCATCCATAGATTTCAGTGTCCCAAAGCAGTGCCAGAGCTGGGGTCCAGGTGTCCAAACATGGGAGCCTGTGAAAATGATCACATGTGATAGTTCTCAACCTCTTTTTGTTTTTAGGAAAGAGCGTAGATGAGGCTGCTGAGTTGGCATTGGATTATATGAAGTCAAAGCTCAAAGGTCTAGGTGGCCTCATCTTGGTCAGCAAAACAGGAGAGTGGGTAGCAAAGTTTACCTCTGCCTCCATGCCCTGGGCAGCAGTGAAGAATGGCAAGCTGCAGGCCGGCATTGACGTTTGTGAAACTAAAACCAAGGACCTGTCCTAAGCACCAGAAGATTGTAACCTGCCTGCTTGCCTGGAAGTGTGAAGTTCAGCTGCCTGGTGTGGAGACCTAGCTTAATCAATTAGATGTAGACATGGAAAACTTACTCGGTCTGTCCCTCCTTTTGTTTTCTTGATCACTAAGTCAATGAATGCTTGGTTGAGGATTGGGTTCTGAAGCGATGGGAGATGTCTGCCAGTGTTCAGACTAGGGAAGATGGAAGCCCTGAGGAGCCCTTCTTTCCCAGTCTCCATCGTGCAAGGCTAGAAAGGAGCTGCTAGATTTTGGCCCCACAGAACTGCTTCTGAGCTGGGAGTGCTTTTTGGATTTGGAGAATGGCTAGGCTGGGAGGGTGTGGGAGGAAGGGCTGAAGAAAGGTGTGAGAAAGACCCAACCAAGTCTGTCCAGATGAGGCTCAAAATGTTGCAGAGTTTATTCTGAGCCTCAAGAATACCTGGCAGGATGCTCAGGGAGGTGCACTCCATCTGTGAGGGGGAAATGGATCTTTCCAGAAAGCTCAGACTCCTCCAACACATATCTGGTCAGAGACTCCATCGATGCCCAACCTGTGGACTGATGGAGTCTATGGAGTTTCTTAACATCTGGGGTCTTTCTTGGCTCGAAGGTGAGCTTCCAAAAGCAGCCCCACCTGACCCCGCCCCAGCTGTCCTCACTGGGGCTTGGTAAGGCTCATGACCTTTCTAGCTTCTCCAAAGGTTGGGTGGTAGAAGGTCGGAGAGATGTCACTGTGTGACGCACTGAGGAGTTGACTGCCCATGCTTCGAGACAGTCCCATGCACACTGAATCAAATGTTCAGGGTGATGAGCATGACATAGAAAGCAGTCACCTCAGTGGAGCATGCCTCATGCACCTGCCATCACCCTGGAAATGGCATGTCTGCTGTGGTGTGTCAGTCCAGCTTTTTAGTCTAGCAGGGATTTTCTTCTCTCTAGGAAGAAACTGACTAACTTTAACTTGCCACTAATAAAATGTATTTTTGAAAGAATAAGATGTGGTTAGGCGTCACTGTTGACCAAGACCGGAACAGATACAAGCTCCTCTCTTGGTCCCTCAATGCAGGCAGATGTAATAGATGAGGGGACCTTTTGGCCTTTTAATGGTGGAGCCTGAGTGTAATAGTATATTCTGCCTCGTGGAATTTAGCAGTAGGGGTTTTGTTGTTGTTGTTTTGTTTTGTTTTTTTTAGAAGAATTGACCTTTCTATGAGTGTGTTAAGGCAGAAACAAGAAACAAAACCACCATTTCCAAGTCTCAGCCGGACTCGTGGCTCTCTCTCCCCAACACTTTGCCCAGATCCCCTGTGGCTCTTGACCCAAGACTCTGTTGTGAGCCTGTAGCTGCTCTGCATTAAAGAAAAAGAGAGGTGCTTAAGAGGCAGAGCTCAGCTTGAAGCTGCCTCTTCTCACTACCCAGGGGCCCTTGGGAATGTTAACATTTGAGATTTTTTTGTCTATGAAAACCCTGTAGGACTCTGGAGATTAAATCAAACTGAAGAAAAACTTATTGTATCATAAGGATCCTCTGGATAAATTCAGAAACTATAGCTGGTCCCCAGTGTGAGGACGGTTATGCATTATAAACCTTGGAAGCCTCAGTATGTGGTACCTGCTGATCCAGAGCATTTTGTTAAGAGACATATACACATTGCTAGTAACTTGCCCCAACAAAACGCCCCAGGCTGGGTGGCTTAATTATCAGAAATGTATTTTCTCAGTTCTGGACACTGAAATTCCAACATCAAGAGATGTTTTTGGTTTTGTTTTGTTTTTGCTTGTTTCTGATTGGTTGGTTGGTTGGTTGGTTGGTTGGTTGGTTGGTTGGGACTTTGGGAGTATTATTGTTTTGTTAGTTTTTCTGTAGTTTTTTGTTTTTGTCTTTGAGATGGAATCTCTCTGTATAGCCTAAGCTGACCTTTAGATTCTCAGTTGTTCAGCCTCAGCCTCCCAAGTGCTGAGATGATAGGCCTGTAGATATATATACCACCCTGCCTGGCCACCCAATGTGAGATTTTTCTCTGAACACACAAAGCCCTCTTCTTACCAGGGACACCAGTCACATAAACTTGGATTTCCCTGGCCCTACAACACCCTCATTTTAAGCTCATCACTCCTTTGGTGGAACTGTCCCCAGATGTAGTCACATTCTGAGTTACTGGGAAAAGGGCCTGAGATACCCTACCCCACCTCACCGTGGGAACTGTAGAAGTAGTGGCAGACAAAGCAGAAACCATAATAGGGGTTGAAGAAGGATGAGACCCTTTGGAGAAAATAACAGCCACTAGATACCTGGAAGAAAAGAACGGGAGCAGAGGAGCCAGATGGAAGATCCAACCTTGAGCTTGTTGGTTCTGCCAGGCACAAGGGAGGTGCCCTGGTTAATAGACCACTGCCACTTGGTCCTGGGACACCTGATAGTCAACCCCTCTATGTAAAATCCTAGTACGTATGTTTGCCTTCAGACCTTGGTTCTGGTGAGATCCACTGAAATCCACTAAGCAGAGACCACAAATGGTTCTCGCTTTTGCCTCACACATTACTAACAAACTAGCAAGTAATTCTTGAAGAGAATGACCATCGGCTGTGTGAGCACGTCTACGCCACAAGAGGGCAGCAAACTACAACTCGTGGGCAGCTTTTAGGCGAGGAGTCAGGCTCAGAGTAGCCTACCTATTGTCAACATTTGGAATTGACGGGGTTCCTAATCACAGCCCTCCTTCCCACCCAAACACCTCAGTTTATTTTAGAGTAGAGCTGTCCAACATCCTGCTGCCCATGATGGCCTGCTACTGCCCATCAGGGTCCAAGGCTCAAGCTTCCCAGCCCCTACCTTTAGTTGCACCTTTCAGCCAGAAAGACAGGTAAATTGCCATTTGGTCACTACCAGCCAAAATGGTGGGATAATTAAGACCAGGAAAACACCAGAACCTAGGCAACTGTACAACGAGACATGAGAGCCAGCCCTCTGCCAAATGGCAGAAAAAAAGTTCCAGGTAAGGAAGAGCCTCTCTACCTTGTAGCTGCTGCTCGGGAAATGGTTTCATTTGTTTTCAAATAAGCTCTCTGACTTGGTCCTTATTCCCAGAGAGGAAGTTGGGTGGGTATCCCTGTCATCAGAAATGGAGGGTGAAGGGAACCTGGCAGGGTCACTTCTCCCACCTCTCCCATCAATTGTCTTTGCACGAAATCCTTACTGGGTTTGGATTCTGTAGCTATTCTAGGGCAACAGGGAGTGACCCCAGGAAAACACGGGTGTCCTGCTCCCTGGGAGGAATGAGGGCCAGCAGAAATCAGAGGCAACCCCAGGTCAGGAATGGGGCAGAGGATGTTTGGGCCACAGGTAGGACGGGGACAGGTGGGTGTGACACATAGGTGCCATTTATGTGACTCTTCCATGGCATAAATGCCTCATGCAGAAGAGTTGAGCCATAGTTCTGTCTCCTGAGGGGTCAGAAATTTTCCATTCCTGAAAACTCAGGGCCATCCAGATCTTGTGGGGGGGAAAAAAAACATCTTTTTAAAAAGCCAGAAATTAACTAGAGTGTCCCTTGGGGCATGTTATGTCAGCTTTCCCATTCACACGTTCTGTGGTTCATACCCGGATGTCATACCCAGATCTAGGGGCAACCCAAAAGCACTCTGGGTCAGAGGTTTGGAAAACCAATGCCTGCTGGCAATTTTATCCTTCAAATTCTGCTTTTCCTCAACATTAAAATGAAACTAGGTTTTCAGAAGCCAAGCTCTTGAGTTCTGTGCAGAATCTAGAAGGTACTGGTAATTGCACAGCAGTAGGGGTCAGACATGATTGGATTTATAAACAAAACCAGTATGGAAGAGAATTTAACCAGCGCTAACATCCACTGTGTAATTACCAGCATCTTGTAGATTCTGTACAGAACTTGGGAGCTTGGGTTCTGGGTTATAACTTGGTGCCATGAAGAAAAGAGGTTGGGAGCAGTTACCACGACACACACACACCTATATTCTCTTCACTTGGGATGCTGAAGCAGCAGGCCCAGGAGTTTCAGCCTCATAAGAAGCTTGAGGCCCAGCCTGGCCTACGTGAGACCTTGTCTGGTAAAAACAATAGGTTGGGTCTTATCCTCCTGGAAGACAGAGGCTCAGTGGTCACCACTTAGTACCTAGGGCAGGTCCCAGATTCTTAAAGGTCAGCCATCTTTCATTAAATACTTTCAAGCGAAAAATAACCTTCTACTCTGAGCACAGTGGTGCACTGTGAACACAGCAGTACGCTCAGCTACTCAGAGGGCTGCAGCAAGAGAATTATTTGATCCCAGGAGCTCAAGGCTATCCTGGATAACACAGCAAATCCTATCTCAGCAAAACAATAACCTTAAATGCAACAAAGGCAGGCATGTGAACTGTAGAAATTTTAAAATGAGTAAAGTAAAAACAGTAACAGCTTAAAAGATGCCTCAGTGGGAAAGGGCTTGATGTGCAGGCAGGAGGTCCTGAGTTCTTCCCCCCACACCCAGATAAAAATTCATGCATGGTGAACCCCAAACCTGGGAGGATCCCAAGGGCCTCTGGTAACCAGTCTAGCCAAAATGGCAGGCTCCACGCTCGATGAGAGACCTGGCCTCAAAAATCAAGGTGGAAAGTAATAGGACAAAGCATTCAGCATCAACCTCAACACATACATAGGCACACTTCCTACTTAGAATACATAATTTTCCAAAATGAGGACATACATGCTTCAGGTAACTTTTTTAAAAATTGTATGCGTTTGAATGGCATGAATTCAAAACATCACGTGTGCCTGTTGCCCACAGCAGCCAGAAAAAGAGAGTCAGATCCCTTGGAATTGTAGTTTCAAAAAGTTGTGAGCTGCCACATGGGTGCTGGGAACTGAACCAAGATCTTCTGCAAGAGCTGCCAGTGCTTGTAACCACGGAGCCATCTCTCCAGCCCCATGAAACTCAGTCAATATTTTCTACCATTCCATGTCAAGTGTTCTGCCCTCATTCAAATACCCCCATCTTTATTTGCAATGGGGTTATCCAACTTTACCTCCATTTTGTAAGTGTCACCGACTTGAATAGACTCCTGTGCCCACAATGTGCTTTC